GACGCACCGCCCCGTCTCCTTCCTCCTCGCATCCCTGCCCCACACAAAGAAGTCCCTCCCTGGCCTGCGTCTCTCCCTGCCCGCACAAAGGCTTCTTGCAGAGGCCGGAGCTGCGGCGGCCGCGTTCCTCGTCCTCTCCTTCCCGCCCTCCTGAGCAAGCCCAGGGGTCGGTCCCTTGCAGCGGGTCTCGGTGCCAATCCGGGGGTGTGGAGAAGTGGAAGGAGGGGGGGGTGAGAGAGAGAGGGGGGGGGAGAAGAAGGCAGGAAAAGCTCGAAGTGCAAATTCCTCCGCGCAGCGCGCCATTGACTGGCCCGAACAACTTAGTTGAGGCTGGAGGTTGAGGCGGGGGGAGCTCTCCCCATAGCAGCCCCCGCTTTTCCCGCTCTCCGGGCCGGGCGGGATGCCTCGCGGGTGAGCGCTCAGTCCGGGAAGCCCCTGGGCGCGAAGGACGAGCGTCCGCCGGCCAGCCTGGGCTGCAAAGTTCGCCGGCTGGAAGGCAGGCAGCCAAGCCGGGTGGCGGCGGCGGCGGCGGCGGCTTGTTCGCTCGGAGGGCGCCGCGAGCCGGCATGGAGAAGTACGAGGAGAGCGTCCTGAAAGCCGGCAAGCTGATGACCGAGCTGTCTCTCTACGAAGAAGGGCTCGGGCGGCGGCGGCGGCGAGAGGCGGCGCCGTCGGGGGAGCCGGACGCGCGGGCCAAGAGGCAGCTGAACGGCGGCGCCGGCTCCCTGGGCCCGCCGCCGCCCTACCCGGCGCTACCGTCGGGGGAGGGAGCTCCGGCGCCCTGCCTGCTCCCGCTGCGCTCGCTGAACGGCGGCGGCGGCGGCGAGGACGGCCCGTGCCCGCGCTCCGAGGTGGCGCTGCCTTGCTATAAGCGCTACTCGGCCGAGGGCTACCCGCGCGGCAAAGGCGGCGGCTGCGGCGGCGGGGCGAGCCCGCGAGGCTCGACGTGCTGCGGTCCGGAGTCGGGCGGCCGCTTCCCCGGCCCTCTGGCCAGCCCGCGGGGCAGCTTGGTGGCGCCGGGCGCCGTCGAGGCGGCGCTCAGCCCGCGCTCCAGCTACGCCAGCACGGCGAGCGACACCAGCAAGCACTCCAGCCCCCGCGCCAGCCTGACCAGCTCGTCCGACGGCGGCGGCGGGAGCAAGCCGAGCAGCAACCGCACCAGCGGCATCAGCATGGGCTACGACCAGCGCCACATCAGCCCGCGCTCCTCCTCCTCCGGCACCGCCGAGCTGGAGGCGGCTTCCTCTCGCCACGGGTCCGCGGCGGCCGCCGCATCGTCGTCGGGGGGCTGCGGCGGCGCGTCCCTCGCCAGCCCCCGCTCCAGCATCTCCAGCCACAGCTCGCGCAGCTCGCGGAGTTCCCGGGGCTCGACGGGCGCTTACCCGGAGCTCCAGCTGCCCTCGCCGCGGGCGTCGATGCTGCCCGAGGACAGCCTCATGCTGCTCTTGCCGCCCCCCGAGCAAGCGGCCCCGGACGCCTACCCGCGGCTCCACGCTCAGTCGCCCGCGGCCCTCGGCCCCGAGCCCGCCGCCGCCGCCTCCTACACCTCCAAGGGGGCTGCCGCCAAATTCCGCATCCCTTACCAGGTCACGCCGTCGAGGGAGAGCGGGCCCAGCCCGGCGGAGAGGCGGCTGGAGGCGCTCACCTTGGAGCTGGAGAAAGAACTGGAGATGCACATCAAGAAGGAGTACTTCGGTGAGTCGGGTAGGGGGAGAACTGGGTGGTGGCGGCGGCGGCGGCGAGATGCTATCTGCACTTGCTGCGATGTCCAGGCGTTAGCCTTTGGCAAGCCGGGGAAGAACTTGACCTGGGGGAGTTATTGGACTGTTCGCTTCCAAGGTCTAAGCGTTGGGGCAAAATATTCATTTCTGGTTCTTGGAACTCTCATTCAGGAGAAGCAAAAACAAACGCTTCCCCCAAATGGTAAACCAATCGGATGATGCTATAACAATAGCAGAAAAGGCCTGCCTTAAGATCCTTTTTTCTCCCAAATGGACTTTTTTGACTCAGACGGAGAGGATGAGGGTGGGATATCACATTTGTATTGAATCATTAAAAAACTCTCTGTCTGTTTAAAACTTTTCGTAACAATATAGGCTAACAAAATGATAGGTTGTTATAGCATCAGATTAAGGATTTCAGTAATACAGTGTCTTGTGAGGATAGAGTCAGGTGGGGAAGCAGCAGAACCAAGTTGGAGTCCAGTGGCACCCCATAAGACCAGCAAAGTTTTAATCGCGGTATGAGCTTTTGTGTGCAAGCACACTTCCTTGGACACAGATCTCAAGCAGTGTATCATGAGGGCATTTTTCATAACTCGAAGATTTAAAAAATCACACATATGCATATGTTACGTGTGGATGAACCTCAGTCTTCCATGGCATGTGCCAGATTTCTTATGTGAAGAGTCACTTTTTATATAAAGTTAGTCATGCAAGGATTTTTGTGAGGCCTTAACTCTTGTGCGTTGTTTTGGCAGCTGTTACAAATTTCCCGTCATGTATCACTACCCGGTATTTATGGCAGGCTTGCTTTTCCAAAGTTTAGCAAGTTGCATTCATGCAGCTGAAAGTTGGGATCTTATTAATGCTTTGCAGGGCTTTGGAATGGGGGGGGGGCCTCCTTCACTTTCATGCACTTTTTCGGAGCCACGTGTGGTATGTGCGCAAGTAGGCTCTCTAGTCACCTGCTGAGGGGGAGAAGGCCCTGCTGAAGCCTTGGAGCAGATTTTGGGCCTTGCGAAGGAAAGCAAAATGGGAGGGAAGCCCACTTTCCCTGGGGAACAGTGGCTTTGTCTGTGTTGCACAGGAGCACTGATCATCGTAAGCACTTTTTCTACCTGAGTTTGAGGTGCCTGCCAGTGTGATGGGTCTCAGTGCTGCCTGGGACTGGTTCACCTGTAGACTCTTGGAGAGGTGTGAGGCACCCTTCTTGCATCTTTTGTAGCTCTCAACTTAGACTCCCTTGCCCATGGCTTGCTTTTCCCCAAGTGCCAGGAGGGCTTAATGTCAAAACAGAGAGGACAGCTTCATCCAAGAGAGGTGCACTAAGGCAAGGGAAGGTACATTCCAGCTCCATCGCAGGAGATGGAGGTCTCCCACTGATGCTGCTTTGGTCAAGCCAGCGCTCTCTAGACTTGTACAACATGACAAGTTGTCCTGCAGGGTTTTGTGGCAGGACATAGTGCATATCAGGGCCTGTGTTCTTCTGTTGCAGCAGAAGAACTTGTGGCCTGATGCCCTGGCCTTGGTGGTTCAGAATGCTGGCAGCCTTCGCCATCTTCCATGTTCAACAGCAGTGTACCTGGCTTCCAGTTCTCGGGGCTGCCTTGGTTGTGTTCTACTTGGAAGCATGTCGCCTAGTTGTAGTTGGAGGCTGGACTAGTTAGGCCTCTTGGCCTGGTTCTGCAGGACAGTTGTGTTGCTGGTGCATAGATTTTGCAGTAAGGAGGATGGTGTGGGATATCTGGGAAATGCTCTATTTGCAGCTTCTTTGGAGAATGTACGGGCATTGCAATTGCTGCCTTGAGAACACTTGTGCCTTTGCTGCTTACGGAACAAGACTTACCGTACCTCGAGCAGGGAAGCTTGAGTGGAGGAAGTGGATTGAGGGAGCTTTTTCTCCTTCTCCCATAATACTAGATCTCTGGGCTGCCCAGTGAAATTGATGGAGTGGGAGAACAGAGAACAGAAAAAGTGGGGTCTGCTATGGGGAGACAGATCTGTGGAGGAGAGATCCACCCATGGTTGGTAGCCGTGGTGAGTTAGGGAAACCTCCACAATTGGGGCAATCAGTCTCTGAAACCCAGTGCTACTGTGTTTCCCCGAAAATAAGACACTGTCTTATATTTATTTTTTCTCAAGAAGACACACTAGGGCTTATACCACAAATGCATAGAAATCCTGCTAGGGCTTATTTTTTGGGTAGGTCTTATTTTCGGGGAAACAGGGTAGGAGGCAACATCAGGGGAAGGCCTTGGTCTCTGTGCTCTGTTTGTTGGCCCTCTGAGGCAGTCTGCTGGCCACTATATGAAACAGGATGCTGGACTACTGGTTTGATCCAGCAGAGCTCTTCTTATACTCTTACGAAGCTGTGGAGTCAGTAGCCATCTACTCTGTAAATGGTATGAGCCCGTTCTCTATACTGGCACATGTATTTGGTTATGGGGAGGAACATGGCAGACGTCTGCAAAACTGAATGGGGTGGATGGAAGCTTTTCTCCCTCTCTCGTAACCGGGTTTCCCAGTGAAGCTGGTTGACAGAGGGGGTTTAAGACTGAGAAAAGGAACTTCTTTGCCCAACACACTGAAGGATTTTTTAAGCCCTATCCTTCTTTTAGAAAGGCGCCCAAACCATTCACAGAATTAAAGCCAACTTGTCATAGTTTATCGTGCAAATAATATTAATGACAAGCTCCAAGAGAAGTATACAGAAGCCCTAAAATATTTAAAATATTAGAAAGCAGAAAAAATAGTCAGCGACTGGGAATACATTTTTAAAAACTGCTACTGTAAAAAAGTTCCCCAATCCTTTTTGGACATAAATCTAGCTATTCCCATTATAAAAGAGTGAAGGTAGAAACTAGCAGATCAAAACCTCGAAACGATTGTCGGCAACTGAGTTCAGTTTCTATTAAAAGCCTTCTGGAGCCTGTATTTTAGCAAAATACGTGTAACTGGACTAGATCCACTGCAGTGGGAAGACTGGCGCTAGCTGGAAAAGAAAGCACCTCTGATACTTTAATCACCCATTTCTCAAGCCAGGAGAGCTGTGTTCTCCAGAAGATCCAGAGAGGAACCCCATCTGTATTGCAAGCATAATCCTGGATTGGCTCTGCTTCTGGCCAACAGTATGTCCAGATGAGAAGGAGAAGAGTTGGGTTTTTTTACCCCACTTACTGGGTTTATCTGCAGCCTTTGATACAGTAGATCATGCCGTCTTGACGTTGAAGAAGAAGAGTTGGCTTTTATACGCCACTTTTCGCTACTCTAAGGAGTCTCAAAGCAGTTTACAATCATGTTCCCTTCCTCTCTCCACAACAGGCACCTTGTGATGCAGGTGAGGCTGAGAGAGTTCTGAGAGAACTGGAACAGGCCCAAGGTCTCCCAGCAAGCTTCATGTGGAGGAGGAGAGGGGAATCAAACCCGGTTCTCCAGATTAGAGTCCGCCGCTCTTAACCACTACACCACACTGGCTCTGGATTAAGCCATCACTGTTTCCTCCATCTGACCCTTCAACACTGCTTAAGGGATTCTCCTGTTCTCTGTGTTCTGATAATGGTGGTTTCGTGTAGATCGGTTGAGAGCCAGTGTATGTGGTGTTGTGGTTAGAGTCAGCCTAAGATCTGGGATACCTGGCTTCAAATGCCCCTTGCTGACCTGAAGCCCACTGGTTGACCTTGGTCTTGTTCTGCATTTATAGCTTAACCTATTTCAAAGGACTGTTCTGAGGATAAAATGGGTAAAGGAAAACCAGTATTCTGCCCCTGTAAGTAGGGCAGAATTAAAAGTATACTGGGTAGAAAGATGTTTAAAAGCCCGGAACCATGTGGACAAGAGGCTATAGGCAGGAACAGTAATCTTCTAGCATCACCTTCTGGGATTATCTGCCAGGGAGGACAGAGCAGCTGTGTTGTGGTGGTGGAGAGTGCCGTCAGGTCACAGCTGATTTATGGTGACCCTATAGGGTTTTCAAGGCAAGAGACTAACAGAGGTGGTTTGCCATTGCCTGGCTCTGAGTAGCAATTCTGGCCTTTCTTTGTGGTGTCCCAGCCGAGTACTCATCAGGGCCAACCTGCTTCTTAGCTTCTTTAGTAAGTTGTGCCATGTGTTACTTGTGTAGAGTGCTGTTTGAGTGCGTCAGCTTGGACCCCGTTTACATCTCAGCAGCGACCAAGAGAGAGGCTGGTACCCAGATTGATTTATTTACTTCATTTAGGCTGCGGTCACACACACTAAATAATCCACTTTCAGTGCACCTTCCAACTGGATTTTTACTGTGTGAACTGGCAAAATCCAGTTGGAGAGTGGATTGGAAGTGGATTATTTAGTGTGTGTGACCGCAGCCTTACAGTTCACTTTTCTTGCTAAGATTCAAGGCGGATTACAGTTAAAAACAATGCTGTAAGGACAGTACAATACGTGTGTGTGTGTTAAGTACCATGAAGTTGCTTCTTATGGTGATTGTATTAATTAGTTACTTTCAAAGTGTCCTAACATCAAAAGCCTTGCTCAGGTCTTGCAAACTGAGGGCCATGATTTCCTTGATTGAGTCAATCCATCTCATATTGGATCTTCCTCTTTTTCTGTTACCTTTGGCTTTTCCATAGCATTATTGTCTTTTCCAGTGAGTCTTCTCATCTCATGATGTGACCAAAGAATGATAGCCTCAGTTTTAGTACAATTTATAGAACTCAAAAAGAACACAACACAAAGTAGAATTACAATATGGGGAGTGGAAGCCCTTTAGATATATGGGTCCTTGTCCATGGGGGCTTTGTAGGGTAGGTGATAACCAAAATCTTGGATTGTGCCTAGAGACTTACTCGGTACCCATACAGTGACTGCAGAACTGGTATAATGTGAATACTGAGTTGGATCATTGGTCATATCAAGGTCAGGTTTGTCTGAGTTGGACGTTTTCAAGCAGAGATACCATCTTTCGGGTATGTTGTAGGGCTATCTTTTGGCTATGCT